TTTGGCCGGGCGGCTCACCTCACACTGTTTTTTCCTGCTGTGCAGCACTTGTTGTGCGTGCGGCCATCTCAATGGACCATGCCACACACATCCATTCGTGCACCGATAGATACTTGATTGGGTCACATACTCCAACCTACTCGCACCCCTGCCCCGGGCTCCGCCACGCCCTTCTTGTGCATGGGATGTGTGTGTGGGTGACTCCCTCCTGACCTGATGGATCGATCGCCCGCTTATCCATCCATCCATCGATGTATGTATGTATGTATGTGTACGGGGAGGGGAGCCGTGTGGCTTGGCTCCCTCCTCTTACCATTTTTGATATCGTCCAACCATCGCCGTCTGCCTGCCTGCCTGCCTGCCTGTGGGTGGCGATGCGATGATGTTGACACATGGATGCTCGACGGGGGCAAGTTTTGCACTCACTCACTGCTGGCTGGGCTCAACACAATTCATTCACATGGATGGACACACCCACTGACACACACACACACACACACACGGCCATCGCTCTCCGCCGACCCGACCTAGGGTGTGGTGCATGCCATGTATGGACTGAGTGAGTGACTTGACGGATGGCTGACGGAGAGACAGATAGATACTTGGACGGACGGATGGACGGACGGACGGACGAGTCGCTCGTATTCGATTTTTCCCCAGCCCAGCCCAGCCCAGCCTTGATTCCAATGTTGAGAGGCCGATCGGTAGATATCTTGCCCTCATCCATGTGCACACGACGAGTGTGTGTGTTTGGCTGTGATGTTTGTTGAATTGGGGGCTGTCTGTCTGGTAGCGAATGTATGTGTGTGTGTATGTATTCCTTTCCGCCGGACGCGACAGCGGGGAAGCAGAAAGGATCTCGATAGATGATTGGAGAGGGGGAAAGAGAGAGAGAGGGTTACTGAGAAACAGAATGCGTGTGGCACATCTGGCGGGCCATGCCGTCCATCCATTCTCTGTCCACATGACGACTCGCTCACCCACATCGTCTCCTTTGCACCCTCACCTTCACCTTTCAGCTCTTCCTGCCTGCCTGCCTGCCCGTTGCCCCCCCCCCCCCCCCCCCCCCCCCCCCCCCCCCCC